TATATGATTTCAGAGACTAGGTCATAAAAACGCAATGACGTTTCCTTTCTCCATCACCTGGTGTGGGAGAAGCCAGGTGCCATGTAATGATGCCCAAGAAGTCTTATAGTCCTGGGAAGGTTGTTCGTGTCAATAGCAATGTGAAAGAGGCCTTGGAAAGAGACCTACTATCCCTGGTCAAGCCTTCAGAGAACCTCAGCTCTGGCAATGTCAGTATTGGACCCTGAACTGAAATCATGCAGCTAAACCACCCCACAATCTTGGCTGTTAAAAACGAATAAACTAAACACTTGCTCTTTTAAGTTGCTAAACTCTGGAGCTATTTGTTATATAGCAACAGCTAACTAATACAAGTGGCTAGCACTTTCTTTTCTCATCTTGCTCTACCTTGGGCCTCAGTTTCCTTTTAAAGATCATTCTTGTTCATAGAGACATAAAGGGCATAAGCAAAACACAAGATTTCCCTTTCTCTCTCATTTCTTTAACAGCAGTCCTCTAATTGACCTAGTTTGCTAGTCCCCACCCTGAGAACCGCAGAGCTCTCTGTTCTTTTTTTCTTAAAGTCATTAGCAATATTTATAAGTTTCAACTCTTTCTGTCTTCTAACCTCCTGATACTGATTTTTATAGAGGGTGATACTACTATTTGTTTCTCATTGGTGCAGGTGGTACAATTTTAATCTTCCTAGGAGGCGCTTTAAAAACTGAGATCCTTCCTTCTATAACAATAGTGACATCTTTGGAACTCATCCTTTTTCTGTTATCAGGATCTAGAGATATAATAATTAAGATTATGCTTTCAAGATCATTTTTTTTTTTTTTTGGTGGGGGAGGGCGTGGATCTGGGGATTGACCCTGGAGCCTCATACATGCTAGGAAATTGTTCTACCTCTGGGCTACATCTCCAGCCCCGTTTCTAAGATTTTAAAGATAACCCTCTTGAATAGTCTTCCCTTTTAGATTTGGAGTCAATTATACTAAAAAAAAAAAAAAATCTAAAGAATAAGTTCTCCAATTCAAAATTATGTTAAGTCCACGCTATTTCTGAAATAATACGGAATACTTCTGGTGATCAAAAAAAAATGAAATTCATTTAACAAGTCAGTATGACTGATAATGAACATTTATAGATCATTAGTTGGAAAGATTTTCAGCAGAAAGAGCTCTTGCTAGTTCATTTTCATTTATCAGGTCTGATCATTTTCTGAAGACTTTCTTTACACCCAGCAAATTTCACCAAAGAATTAGCCAGACCTGGTGGTGCACACTTGTACAACACCAGTGACTCAGGAGGCTGAATCAGGAGGATTACAGTTCAAGGACAGCCTCCGCAACTTAGTGAAGCCCTAAGCAACAGAGGGAGACTTTGTCTCTAAATAAAAAATAAAGTACTGGGGATGTGGCTCAGTGGTTAAGTACCTCTGGGTTCAATCCTTGGTATAAAAGAAAAAGAAAAATTAAGAAGTTTGGAAACACAGGAAAACATCAATAATAGGCAGATACTGCAAGCACTGGGCAGTTTTAGACAAAAGGCAGGGGCCTGTGTTCACAGGAGTGCAAGAGGCCTCTTCTGGGTTGGGCTGATGCATTCCTGGTGCCGTCAGTGCTCATTCTCCATCTGAGTCAGGAGAGGGAAGGACCTGCTGTGCACTGGGGGCAGTGTGGGTTCCTTGATTAGGACTGAGAAGGATGATGATCTACCCTAAAGCTCAGGGGATCTCTCCACCCCACATGGAGAGCCTGCTGATGCATTTTTCTTATAACTTGTCCTTTAAATAGTCAATTTTTCTCTGGAAATAAGCCAGAAGGGAGTAGCAGCCAGCCTAGAAATCATACTGTTATTATTGTGGCTCCCGTGTGACTCTTCCTGCTAGAAGTTCCAGCCTTCTGGTCTGGCAGATGTGAAAATCAAGGAGAAGGCACCTTCCTCCTCATGACTGTAGAGCACTAGATGGGAGAAACCCATTGCCCTTTGGCTCGCTGGTTTCTGAGCCTAACAGTGATGACTCAGAAATAGTGACGCAGGGTGATTGGGAAGGGTCTGAAGTCTGAAGATATAATTGGGTACCTCAGATTCAAGTGTGTGGCCTCTCTACATGATGATGAAGAACCAAAAGGAACGCTACAAAACAACTGAGGAAATCAGTCTAAACGCTCAACAGACTCATTACCAACACAAAAATCTGGGGTCTCTACATGACCTAACAGATATCCAGAAAACAATGGTGTTCATCAACACGCTGTAACCAGAACCTTCCTCGGGTCACATCTGAACATTCTTTCTCATCATCTACGCTCTCTGGTTGGGCATAACAAGTCTTACATGGTGTCAGCAAGGAAGCCTGGCCTAGGACGTTCTCTCATCTGTGTGGAACGGTCCTCCCTGTCAATCCATGAGCTTCACGGCTTTCACAACCTCTCTGGAAGCTCATCTCCAGCAAGTCCCCCAGTTACCACACCCTTGGGTCAGTCTCTATCTGTTCACATCATCATCACACAATGTCCTTGTTGGCCCTGAGGTAGCTTTGTGTTTCTCTGCCTTCCAGATTCCATGACATCTTTCTAAATATGTAAAGTGGGTTCCTGCCTTCATTCCTCAAGCTCCTGAGAGAAGGGACCTTATCCTTTTAATTTCTTTTAACAGAATGTCATGCAGGGATCCCTGTGAAATATCAAAATACTCTTACTGGCCACAACAGAGATCTTTGGATGGCTTTCTCCCACTTACATGATATCATGAGCTGGTGTCTAAAAACAGATTAGTTATTTGCCAGTGTACGGGAAATGTCCTTTTCATGTCAGACTTTAAAAACATTCCCTGTTGTGTCACCCCTATTCCAACAGGAACACACAGGCCTGGCTTTTGCACAATTCAGAAAACGGGCTGAGTGAGTGCTTCTGCACATCTTACGTTTGCATATGGAAAATGTGTCTCCTTTTAGAAATAAAAGGAGAAGCCCATGAAGAAATGCCCCCAAGGCCAAGGGCCCACCTGAGCTGGGTTTGGCTGCAGTTAGAATTGAACTGACCCTCCGTTTTGAGTCTCACCAACCGGCTGAGCAAAATGGGAATGTCAACTTGTGGCTCCTTGAAATTCACTTACGTGACACTGACAATAAGGAGGACATTAGGACAGCCGAGATTGTCTCTGACTTAGGATAATTTAAGTTCCCTTAAAAGCCCTTCAGACAAGATTCATAAAATCAATGAGATCAGCTGTCAGGACGTGTCACTCCGCTGTCTCTGCTGCCACTCTGCATCACAGCGTGAGAGCAGGAAGACGCCACAGGAAGGGCTCTCAAGAGTCTTCATGCATGACTGTGCTGGAGGCAGTCATGGCTCGAACATATACTAGCAGTGAGAGAGACAGGGCCTATTTCTGGCCCTGCTGCTCTTTCATTAGGGAGCAAAGGTGGACCTCTGTATGTTGATGATTTAAATTTTTTTTTTTTTTTGTACTGAGGGTTGAACCCAGGGGTGTTTTTACCACAGAGCTACAGTTCTTTTTTTTTTTTTTACTTTGAGACAGGGTCTCACTGAGTTGCCCAGGCTGGCCTTGAACTTGTGAACTCCCGCCTCAGCCTCCCTTGGGGGTTACAGGTGTGCACCACCACACCCAGCCATATGTTGATGTCTTCACGGCAGGTTAATCTCCTGTTCCTTGACCACTGCATGGGACTTTATGAGGGTAAAAAAGAAAGAAAATATGGAAAAACAGGTGCTATTGGCAGTAATATTTCCCCAGAATATACACATTTTTCAATTCAATAATTTCCCTTCTTTCGGATTTTCTGAACACATGGGTCCTACCCACTGGGTGAGGCTATGTATGGCATAGATACCAGGCATGCATGTGTCTCTTGTAGTGTGATGTTATGCTTAAAACCAAGTTTGCAACCATAGGATAAATGGAGAACAGAGGGTGAAGAGTGCATTTCTTCTTAATGTTTGGGATAAAAAAAAAATAATTGTCTGTTTTGTTATTAATGACATTTTAAAATAAAAAATAAAAAGGGCTTATTTGCAAAATTTTGCATATATATCTGTTGTGTTATTTTAGCCACTCATTGGGAGTAAGTATATACAACCCACAAAAGAGAAAAAGTATTTCTGGCTCTGGAGATACACCAATTCTGGTATTTTCAGAAAGTCCTGCCTACTTTAGTAACTAACTGAAGCTTGAGCCCAGTTTAGTTGGAAAAGGACCCATGTGGAGACCAAAGGAGAAAGGAAAGCCAGGCTTATTGCAGGAACCAAGTAGGTCACCACCAGACTGTCTGCACCTGTGTGGGCTTCCATTTTTGAGGTCAGGTTCTACATTATCCTCTTCATTAAAAAAAAAAAAAAAAGAAAAGAAAGAAAAAAAAAACCCCCAAATTTGAGAAGGGCTTTTTTTTTTTAGTCTCAAAAGGAATAGCTCAGAAACAAAAACTAGATGATGACTTAAATAGAAACTTGGAAAATGAAGCGTGAGGAGAATTTTATGAAGTTTGGTTTTAAGGTCATTTCAGATTCTATATGGCAATGTGTGCAACTTATGGGGCTGATCATGGAGAAAGAGGACCTGTTTTGCTCAAGCAGAAGTTGCTGAGAGGCAGAAGGAAGGCGGGTCAGATACCTGGTCGAGTGGTCAGTCCTCGGTCGGCAGCGGGGCGGGCATCGACAGGCTCAACTGGGCGCAGGAAGCAAGAGACACAGAAAGCAAACAAGACAAATCAAGATGGTGAGTTGTGGCTCCTGAACGCACAGCAGGGAAAAGCATGTGCAATAAACAAGTTATTAAAAAGAAGCAGCTGGAAAAGAATCTCAGTGAGCCAATCACGAGCCTCGCGGAACAGGAGGGGCGCCACTTCAAAAGCCTTATCGCCATTGACACATCAACCCAGTCTCCTTAGTTTCCTCAAAAGCACTCGCCAGGGCACAAAGCAACATCAAAGAAGAGGGAGGGTGGGTTTTCCTCTGAGCCAGTTTAGCGATAGTTTCTTGGCTTTTAATTAGAAATAAAAATAGATTACAGCCCACCCCCACAGAAAACCTTAAATATACCTCCTTTTACAACTGTCCAATCTTATCTTCTTCTACAGTTAATTAACTACAAAAGGCCTCTGTTAAATCTCTAGAGAAAATGCAAATATGAATTTATTAGGAGAGCAAAGTTTCACCATATAATCTGTCAGTTAGTGAATTGAATTTGTCCTTCATTTGAGGGTAGAAGGGGTTTATAAAAACCACAGATTCTTTTACTCTCTTCTTTTTAAAAGGCTGGTTTCCATCGGAGAGATGATATTCCACTGAACTGTGTGAAGTGAGACTATTTCCTTTTACATTTGTTGACATTCACAATTATTCCTTTGTATGTGTTCTGGGTCTGACCCAAAGAAAACAGTGTGAGCGGCACAATAGTTCCCACCCTTGCTCACCATCATCTGGCATTTCCAAATGCTTCTCATTGTCAGAAAATGCTTCCTTGAGCTTACACTGGTCTTTGAAGAAACAAGGAAGGGAGAGAGAAATAAAGCTTTCAGGATTAACAAATTGGTCAAAGGGCAAATGAAGCCAAGGGCAGAGAAAAAATTGCTCTGGTAGGGTCTGGCATATACAGAGGGAAGATGGTGAGAAAACTGAACACGGGGTGGAGGGAACACAAGCTGTGCTTGATGGGATGGCTCTGGAGCGGCAATTTCAACTGTGCAGCTCACTGATGCTAATATGCCGAGCATTTACACGGGAGATCATGAACCCCAATCAATTGTGAATGTCACATGTCCGCAGGAATGGTGAGGAAAGAAAGTAGAAGCAAGCTAAGTATTCAAAATATGAGAAACTCTTGTTTCTGAGATGACAGAGACATTTGGATACATCCAAAGAGGAGATGACTTGTCCTTTCTGGTGCATCTAAACCCAGACCCAGCATTTATATATCACCCCCCACGACCTTGGGTAAGTAGTCACTTCTGAGGTGGTTTTTCCACATGGAAAATAGAAATGATAACATCTCACCTCCAATTGTAGTAAGGCACAAATAACTTTAAGAGTCTGTTTCAGAGACTCCAAAGTACTAAAAAACTGCATTTATTAAAGTCCCTATTATTAAATATTCTATAATGACTTGCTGTGTGGATGACAGTTCTCTGGCACTTTTTTTTCTTGCACTAGAATTAGACACACTTCCTTCTGCAACTCGAAAATGTATTTCAACAATGTAGTCTCATTTCTCTGTTTCATCCCCCCCCCCATGTGTAAAATCATGCACATGTGACTTTATTCCTCCTTATAAAATGAAGTTGATGGAAGGATTATTGTACTTTGTGAGAATTTCCTAATGACCAGGGGCCCAAATGGTGCTTCACTTGCAGTCAAGAGCACCAAACCCCACTCACAGGAGCAAAATACCCAACTTGGAGTGGTGGCCGTCACAGACATCAACTCTCATTTGATGAGAAAACGTGTATCTGACCTAGCGGGAAGCCATTACATTTGTGTTTTAACTGTAGGATGAAGAGCTGGTGGCCTTCCGGGCCATGGCTATGCCACCACTTCTATCTTTGTGATCTTGGACAAATTAAATTCTTAATGAACCTTTTGTCACAAGCAGATGGGGGTTTTTCAGGACACACCTCTGTGGAAGAAACTTACAAATAATAAAGCACGAGTCCATATGATTACTTAATATTGGAAAGTATCAAACACGCATAGGAAAATGTCTAAAAGAAGGAATGATTTCATTCCTTCTGTCTGGGTGAGATTACTCCTATAAACTTCCCTCTACTTCCAAAAAGTAGAAAATATTTTATAATGTCAGAAAAATGTATTTGTGATACACTTATTTTTTTTTTTTTCAGTGTGAATGAGCAGAATGACCAGGCATTGGACCCTCACGGGACTCGACTGACCGCTCTTGAGAAAAGCACCACCTTTCTGGTAAGCACCAGACGCTAGGATGGTGAGGACTGCATGAACTCTGAAAAAAAAAAAAATAAAGCCTTTGAAAACTCTAGATGTTTCCAATAGAAGGTGAGTGTGCATGTATCTGTAAAAAGAAAGATGAGCAAGGCACAAGTTTCAGGGGGAAGGAGAAGAGAGGTGAGAAGGGAAGAAGGGAGGGCCTGCAGGACTGCATTATCACAGGCTTCTTATCTATTCATTCATCTTAGGGCATATTGTTTGGGCCATGTGGGCATTCATCTGGAGACAGGATGAAGATAAAGTCTCTTTAATAAGATCTTGGTTCCATTAAAAAAAAAAAAAAAAAAAAAGCAAGCTACTATGTCCCAGCCACTCTGCCAAGAGCTTCTCATGCTGTTTCACTTAGAGCACACACATTACCTTTGAGCTGGGAATGAATATCATCCTTGTTTTACAGATGAGGTGACATCTAGGGAGGATTAAGTCACTCGCCCACAATCACACAGCAGAGCTGGACTTGAAGCTCAGTTTTCATCACTGGAGAGTGTGGAGGAGGACTTAACTCTTCCATGAGATGGTGGGGAATGTGGAAGTGTTTTTGGATGTCACTAGACCAGGGAAAGAGAGGATGCTATGGGCATTTAGTGGATGCGGTTGAGGATGTTAGGTGCTGTACCCAAGACAATGTCAACAAATCTCATACTCGGTGTGGGTTTCAAACTTTCCACTCCTATTGTGGGAGTTCATGGCAGTATGAACCAAACTGAATTTTATTCATAAATACCATGCATTTTTGCAGTTTTTAATATAATCTGGGTATACCAGAGGCACACTATTGTATAAACTGGGGAAGACTGATTTATTCAGAACTTTCCCAAGAGTTATTCAAAATTTTGGAAAATCATGTTGCTGATGCTTCCGTTGTTTATGGATGCTGATTGCTGAAACAGCACCAGTGTAAGTTTGCAGCTGTATTTGCCACATCTGTAGGGGACAAACAACCTACTATGCCATTGTTTCTAGTTGTTGGGCATTCAGCACAACAATTTGAAACACGTATTTTTACAATATTGATTTTTTACCTAAACCTTGCCAATTTTATTTAAAGATTAACTGTGGTGGGTCAGAGGTGCAGCTCAGTGGTAGAACCAGTGAATAGCATGGCTGAGACCTTGGGTTCGAGCCCCAGCACCACAAAAAAATTAAAATAAAGAAATTGTTGAGGAGGTTTTTTTTTTTTTTTTTTTTTTTTTTTTTACAAAATATTTGTTATAAAAGGGGTGCTGGGTCTGATAAAGCTGAGATTGGTAAATCAGGACTCTGAGATCTTACGTACTATTGTGTCTTAGTGCTTTTTTTTGGGTGGTGGTGGCACTAGAATTAATATTGGAACCAGGGCCATGTGTATGCTACAAGCACTCCACCACGGAGCTCTGTCCTCAGTCTCTTCCAATACTTTTATATGAGAGTCCGCTGTTTGCCAAAAGCAGATCTTTATTTGCTACATCAGCTTTGATGAAATCTGGCAATTAACAGCTAAATCTCCTTTGGTTCAGAGGGACTGAAGCAGAGACTGCCCACCTGAGCACACTGGCAAGATCCAAGGGCTGCAGTGTGTGATTGTGTGTGTGATTGTGTGATTGTGTGTGTGTGTTTTTTCTGCACTCATGTACAGTCTGTCTCCCAGGAAGGATGCCACAATGTGTGTGTATTAGCAAAAGAGCCAATCTAGTAAGCATCTGGTTTCTCATTTTGGAAAATCAGACTGTACATTCTTCCCAAAAATTCTCATTCAAGGTTGAATAATGAGGATTTTAAATGGCCCAATTGTATCTACTTATGAAAAATGATACAACCAGTACTCTAGCAATGGTATAATTTGATAAGGAAACTATTCAGATCTTGGGTAACCAAGTATTCTTAAATTATTTTGTTCTTTGTGAGTAGGAATAATTTTAATATGTGATAAAAACTTTATTTTTTTAGAAATGATGGTAGAATGTGATGGACATCATTATCCAAAGTACATGTATGAAGACATGAATTGTGTGAATATACTTTGTATACAGAGATATGAAAAATTGTGCTCTACACGTGAAATATGAATTGTAATGCATTCTGCTGTCATACATAAAAAATTAATAAAAAAATTTAAAAAAACCTTTATTTCTACACTATATCTAACATTTCTGTTTATATCTGATGGTAATACTATAAGGTAACTTTTTTTTCAAATTGAGGAAACATACTGGGGTGATTATTCATGTTGTGCACATAGCCTATACAAAGATTTTTCTGCAGTAGTTCTTTTTAAAAAAATGCTTGTCAAGTGTGCTTAAGGTATAAAATTAAGGATTTAGATTTACTGAGGACCACACTGATCTACTTTATAAGGTAACTGTATTACAAATACAAAAATATCAAAGTTTGCTACTTTTCAAAAAGAAAATCACAGGTAAAATCCCATTTTGTTCTTGAAAAACTTGTCATTATTATTATTATTATTATTAGGGAAAGTTTTCACGTGTTTGTGGTTTTGCACTTCTAATCATGCAAAAGTGATGAAAACAAGATGCTCTTTCCTATACAAACAGTTCTGCTAAGAAGCACTCGTGGCAAAAGTATATCATCTAGGTGCACAAATATGTTGATGGAGAAAACCCTTGATTCTCAGAAAAAATGTAGAGTTATGTGCCCCTGAATACTGACAGCTGCCATAAATTTAAATTGCTAAACAAATTTATTTAAATCTTAAGGAAACTTACATTTTATTTATATGTGGTCCTCTATTTTTGCCTTTAACATTTACTACAATTTGAATTCCCATGTCTGAATAAATAGCCAGCAAAGACTATCTTGGTGCCTATTAAGTTTCCATTATGCAGCCTATCCCTAAATGCTCCTCAGGTGCTGCATGATCTTCCAAACTATATTAGTCGAGGCAATGTCCTCCACCTGTTATCTTTGGTAGTGGACATTCTAGCCCACTATTCCGTAAACACAAGCTGAAAATTGTGCTTTCATTCCAGAACCAACAAAATAACTCTCAATGAGAAAGTGTTTTGTAAAAATTCCTATCAAAAATCGCCATTCAAGAACTTCGTTTCCTGATGCCTCAATTTCCTTATTTGAAAAACAGTCCTTAAAACAATATATGGTATATAGTACATACTCGGTGTACCCACACATTATATATAATATATAATTTTTTGAGATGGGGGTCTCACTATTCTGTCCAGGCAGGTCTAGAATTCCTGGGCTCTAGTAATCTTCCTGCCTCAGCCTCCCAAGTAGCTAGGACTACAGGTGTGAACCACCATGCTCAGCTCTATGTGCTTAAGAAGAAAATGGGGAAAATTAGTGGAATGTCATTGCCACACATTTTCCAGATAGAGAATAGCTTCTTGAATAATGTATGTTTTTAAAAGAGTAGTAACTCCAAGGATAATACTCCCCAGAATGTAAACCAGGATTCCTGGGAAACAACAGGCCTTTTTTATTCAAAAGTGTTCCATGTAACTATAATCATCCCCTGTTGTTACCCACAAAATGGGACTGTTTATTTGCTTCATAAAGAATAAAAAAAATGTAAAGAATAACTTCTTGCTATTAATTATAAATGTAAAAAAACAATTCAAATCTATCAATGTAATAAAGATATATTATTTTAAAAACATAACAATTCCTAATATTTATTTCTGATTCAAAATAAAGTTAAGTGACACTATCATTACCTCATAAAAAAAATCACCACTCAAACACATGAAAAAGATTTCATGTGTGTGCTTGTACACACCCACCTACGTGAGCTAACATACGCACACTTATCTACATTTACACACACCTTGGGATGCTTCTGTTCCCTTTTGGGGACTCTTACCTTCATTTTCGGTATTGGCCGGCACAGAGTCCACCCCAAAAGGATGCCACGGCTGGAGATCGTCCAGGCTGAACTCTCCATTCACGGGAAGAAGCTCCACGGTGGTTTTCGTTTCAGTCAAAGACGGCATGAGAGCATCGTTTCCATAACTGATTCTTGGTTCGCTGATCATGTTGGCCAAGACGTCATCCGAGTAGTTTTGCTCTTTCTGAAGCAGCTCGTCTAAACAAAACAACCATCTCCTTGGTGAGTAACAAGGATCATAGTGGCAGCAGGAACAGCAGCTCCTGTCCAGCCAGGCAGACCTGGATGTCATTGAGACCCTCCCTCTGGGTACTGTTATCTCCCTCTAACAGATGTGAAAACTGAGGCACACGGAAGGTAAGCGACTTATGCAAGGTCACAGCTGGCAAGTGCCCTGGGTGGAATCCGAACTCAAAGAGAAGGGCAGCTGGCTGCTGTTCAATGGTCACACCACTCTCCCAGAGGTGAACGATGTCAGGAGCTATGCTTCCATTCCTTCTCTCTAGCATCCAGTGATCTCAAAGGAATCAACAGTGTGCTTTGGTGTGGTGTTTGGGAGAGTGTCGTGGTTTGGATCTGGAATGTTCACTAAAGGCTCGAATGTTGAGGGCTTGGTCCCCAGTGCAGCACAGGTGGGGCTTTTGGAAAGTGATTAAACCATGAGGGGTCCGACCTCTGGACTAACCGAGTTCACAGCTGAAATGACTATTGGGAGGTGGTAAAAACTATAGGAGGTGGGACCTGTGTGAAGGCAATGGGTCCTTGGGGACTATATCTTGATCCTGGTCCTCCATCCTTTCTCTGCTTTCTGGCTGCCGTGAGCTGACCAGCTTTCTCTGTAACACCTTCAACCGTGATGCTTGTGCCTTGAAGCCAGCTGACCATGGACTGAAAGTTTTGAAACTATGAGCCAGAATGAACTTTCAACTTTGAAGTAGTTTTTCTCATGTATTTTGTTACAGTGACAGAAAGCTGACTAACATAAGAAGAGTGTCAGCAGCTGGTAAGCTGCAATCTATTTCAATCCAAAGGGCACATCCCATCATTGGAGACCCTGGGGAGTCTTCCTTGAACATGTGCATGGATAAGAAAAGCATTACAGACCATTGGTCTGCTTTATTCTGAAACATTTTTCATCATTTTGTCTTGAAAAAGATCTGTTTCCCTAAATGCTCCTCAGGTGCTGCATCATCTACCAAATTATTCTGTGGTATTTTTAAAAATTAGAGACCCAAAGATGCATGCCATATGACCCGGCATACATGTCATTAACAGTTATCATTATTAAATAGAGTATCTCATTTTCCAATCATACCTCTGCCAAGAGTTTACTGAATTATATATTTCAAACCCATCACTGGTTAGTATTAATGTTGGAGAAAATGAAATCAGATTTAAATTTGATATGTAGCATTTTACTACTGTACTTCAAATTCTTCTTTAACTTGACAAAACCCTTAGAATTTATCTGAAAAATTAAAACTCTGTTCAAATAGACCTATTAAGACAATTTGATGGGATAGCATTAAAGCATATGATTAATATCCTTCCATAGAATCAGTTTTATTGCAAGAGATTATGTAAAATGATAGAATCCACAGCAAATTAGTCCTTTTGAAGTCTAATTTGAGTCATAATATATACCTATTCACTGTGGCACAGTTTTTTAAAATTCAATATTTGATGCTTTCAATGACCTTTCCCTTACAGATAAAAGGTCCAGATTACATTTCCTCCAACTTTTTTCAAGTCTTACAAAGTCATAGGTAATGGGTAAAAACTCCTCTCTCCCACTCTGTATCATTTCCAAGGTTTGGTGGATGTGTTAACTTAGGTCTTCCTCCTGATTCATGAACTTATTTGGTAGAGAACTGTACTCAAGCTCCTGCCTTCCCCTTTTCGAATCATCCGTGACTCACACTCACCACTATTGGCAACTTTTAAATTTCATTTCTAAATCCTCTCGTCTACATTCCATTCACTTTTCCACAGCCCTCTTCCTTGGACCAGGATTAATTTTTGCCTAAATAATTATGACATGTTTCCTTATTGTCTACTATGGTCTGAATGTCCCACAAAATTCATGTGTTGGGACTCATCCCCCACTGTGGTAGTACTAAAAGGGCCTTTTGGGAACTGATTAAGTCATGAAGGCTCCACCCCCATAAATGCTTAATCAGTGCCTTATAAAAGGGATGCAGGGAACTACCTCAGGACCTTTTTAGCTCTTCTGTTCTGTCATGTGAGGACACAGGGTTTATTCCTGTAGAGGGTGAGGCACTAGATGGCATCATTTTGGAAACAGAGAGTCTAGGCTCTCAGCAAACTCAGAACCTGCAAGTGTCTTTTTTTTTTTTTAATTTTTATTTTTTTTGCACCAGAGATTGAACCCAGATGTGCTTAACCACATCCCCAGCCCCCTTTTTTTAAATTTTAAGACAGGGTCTTGCTAAGTTGCTGTGGCTGGCTTCAAATTTGTGATCCCTCCTGCTTCAGCCTCCTAAGCTGCTGGAGTTAATGGGTGTGCACCACCATGTCCCCGGCAGTGTCTTGATCTTAGACTTCTAGTATCCAGAATAGTAAGAAATAAATTTCTATTGTTTCTATTACTGAGTTCCAGATATTGTTATAGCAGCACAAACTAAAATACTGCTCTTTCTACTAATTTTTATTCTTACTTGTTCCCTAGATCTTTCCCTAGTAATGGGAATGGTTTTTCCCCACTTCAGTGGGTCCTCATTTCCTACTGAATTGATCCAACTCCTGGGCCAGACACTGGAGACCCTCTTGATCATGTGCCTGACACACATCCCTCAGGCTGAACAGTATAGGTTATCCCCAGAGGGAACCATGTATTCCCGCCATGACAACTTTGTTCTTTGTGCCTGTTACCTGGGAAGCTTACCTCTGCTTATCTAAATTATACGAATTCTTTAATGCCCAGGTCAGATACCTGCTCCCTTTTGACTCTCCTCTCAAGCTAGGCATTACTAATCTTACAGGACAAGAAACTGAGGCTGGGACAGATGAACCCATCTCTTCAAGATCCCGTGCCAGTAAGCATCCGTGCTGAAATCCAGGTCCTAGGCTGCACTTAGCCCCTACTTATTTCCACCTCCCCTGATATCAGAAGAGGAGTTCAATCTTGTCTCATCATTGGGCTGCTCATTTACAGGGTAAATGCAGAAACCAGGCGTGGTGTCTGAAACCAGAATGTTCCAATGTCTTTAGTAATGTCTTCTGCTCCTGTGGGGTTGTGAGTCGACATAATCACCACTAGCCCTGTGAAATGGTTATTCCTTTTGTCCGGCCAGAAGTCATTTCCCAAATGGGCAGCTGGAGGAGGGGGACCCTGTGTCTACCTTAGCATTTGGCAGCAAAAAAAGGCAGGGTAGGGAATCATCAGAGAGTGTTATGGTTTAGATACAAGGTGTTTCCCAAAAGTTCATGTATGAGACAATGCAAGAAGGTTTAGAGGTGAAATGATTGGGTTATGTGAGCCTTAACCTAATCAGTGCATTAATCCCCTGATAGGGATTAACTTGGAGGTAAATGAAGCAGGAAGGTGTGGCTAGAGGAGGTGGGTCAGTAGGGGCATGCCTTTGGGGTATATACTCGGTGAGCTGAGCTTAGTCTCTCTCTCCTTCATGGAGTGATATCTTGAGCTGCTTCCCTCCACCACACTCTTTCACCTTTACCTGGTTTTACCTGGAATTAGCTATCTGTGGACTAAGACCTTAGAAAACATGAGCCCCCAAATAAACTCTTCCTCCTCTAATTGTTCTTGTCAGGAAGTTGTAGGGAACTTTTCCTCTTTTATCTCTTATACATTGGCAGGAAATGTCCTCCAATAGGCACCAAAATGCCAACTCCCCTGATTATGAGTTTTCCTGATTCATTATATTCACATTCAGAAAATTTAAGTGAAAGAATGAAATATTCAAGAAAAGTTACATTTTTAGCTGAGCAAAAAAACACTTAACCATTCTTTTCATTCAGAGGTACCAAATAGCAGAAATCTATATTCCTTTCTTAACATAGGAGTTTTAGGGAAAAAATATCCCTGGCTATATGATTTGGAAAAATAAAGTCAGTGTGATTTTAAGGAAAAAAAAAAAAAGAGGTGAATGTGATGGATTACTCCTAGTTGGGGTAGGCTTCAATTGTGTGTTCATAAAATGTCTAAGTCAGTCAGCAAGAAACCTCTTGATATTATCAAGAGCTCAAGATTTTACCAACAGTAAATGCACTGGTGCTGGGCAATTGCTCCTGTGACCAAATATGCAGAGCCTCCATGATTATTTCATTGTTCATTTTGAGTAGGACTTCATCTTTGACTCCCACGGTGAAGCTAACCACCTTCTACTGCGATGGTGGGCCTGATGGATTGTCCTTTTATCTGAATTAATTTAATATTTTATTACAATGCTTTAATGGCCTACATTGGGAATTTCCAAAGCTTTTAAGCATCTACATTTGCCAACTGTTGTATTAAACTGAAGGAGTACATTCATTTTCCCTCACCGTAATTTTTTTCCCTTCCTTTTCCCTAGAAGCTTTTATTGCTCAAAATTGCAGCAGTTACTTCTGGAGCCAGATATACCCAGATACTTGAGTTTTGCATTTTAAAGTAGAAATATTTCACTGAGTTCAATGATGGTAAATATTTAACCTTTGGTTTAAGCAATAGAGATAATTTCAAATATTAAGACACACAATGAACCCCATCACTTTGCTCTTTTAAAAGTGCTCTGAGGATGTATTTAGGTATACTTAGAGTAAATAAGAAAAAGAAGAACCCCACCACTTAGCTATCATTGGAAATATTGAAAATGTTTCAAAGAAAGTAACATCAAAAGAGACTAAGTAGTAATTCCACCTACAAGTGGCTGAACTAATTCTGTTTTTGTGGAAGCAAAAGATATCCATGATTGTTCATTTTGAGACAAATGACTTAATAAACAAAAGGACTGCTGAATAAGAAACAGATGAATTCTACATAATTCATCTAATGTTCTTTTAATGATCAACCCACTAGCCAAACTCCTTCTAAAAATTCAATGGCCACATTTTAGGTTTCTAGAAAATAAAGTTTATTGACATTGTGTCAGTCTCAATTCTCTTTTTACATGCTTCATAATTCCTTGTGATTACTGAACGACATCTCAGCCTTTCTACTGTAAAACATGGCTGGTCCA